TTCCCCCCCCCCCCCCCCCACAACTTACATGTATTACCTGTGAGGACACCAAAGATATTTGCTATTACAAACAAAAAAGCTAATTCCCATATACCATATTTGCAAAAACTATGGGTTTAAATGTAAACATGTTTAATTAAGTGCAAATAGAAACTGACATCTAATAATTTCTTCTAGCTATCTTTACATTTAGCATTTAAATACTTAAAAATAAGTATTTGATTTATTTCACAGAAATATGAAAGTTTGTACTCCAGTTAGTCTAGTATTCTTCTAACTATGAGGAACACAAGAATTAAAAGAAATATTTTCATATAAATAATGAGACAAATGTGTATTTGGGGGCAGAGAAATTAGAACATGAAAACCATTGCATGCTCTTATTACAAAATATAGCAAACCAGCTCTCTGAAGTGAAAAGTACTAGTGTCTATACGTTGTTTGCAGTTAAGTCAAAACATGCCTGTTGAAAACATTTTTAAAAATATTCTGTTCGTTAATGGAAATGCAGTGAAAATGTAGAATATGTGGAAAATGGAAATACGGATTAATCAACTATGTAAGTGCTTGAAACAAAATAAAAACAGGAACGATGAAATCTTTTTAGCAGTTTGAACCCGTGTAAAGAATGTTGATAGATATTACCTTGTTGCCATTTTACAGAAATAAATTCAAAGATTCTAATAATATGCAGTATCTTCTGTTAGACTCTTGTTAATGCATGCTATTTTTTAAATGCATTATCTTATAGAGAAAACAATACTCAATACTCTGTCTTTATGAAGAATCCAGCACACAAAGGAGAACATAAAATTATTATACAAAGGAGAACATAAAATTATTACAGGAGACCAATAACTTCCAGACTGCCTAGGGAAGCATTCCAAGATGTTAGCACTCCAGGAGTGGAACTTTTAAAAGCCATTTTAGAAAGTTCCCAGTGCCTTTAACATGAAAACAAGTTAGTACAAGAAAATCTCTGTNACAATTATGGTCAGTTCAACATTTTACAATTGGAAGGTTATATAGGAAATTATCAGTTAGGAGGTTGATTGCCCCCCCGTTACACCTCTTTGTGAGAGACATAAAGACAAAAACCCCATAAAGTTTCATGAAATCAGTACCTACTCACCTTCCTGTTGTGCCAAAATAACAGTGGGATGAAGCAGAGCGAGAAGTAACCAGGTCCCCTTTTGCACAAAGCTCATCATGTCTAAATATCAGACATGAGACTCTTTGTGCAAAAAGGAGAAAAGAAAAGCAGTTCAAAGTAGCACCATCAGTTGTTCCCTGCCCTTCAGCACCGGGCCCGTCATAAAACTCAGCCACTGAGATTCCTTTGCTTTGGCCTTAAATAGGAAAAAGTTTGGCTTCCTTTACTTTCCAGCCCCTTTCTGAAATATGAGAGCAGCACCCATCCCCTTAGCAGTAAAAGAAATGATTAATATTTCTTTTTCCCTTATAGAAGACACAACCCAGAATAAGAAAAATAGCACATCTGGAGCTTGTGTTCATCTGCTTATGTATAAGTTGTTACATATTTTATTATCACAGATAGGTCTGTAAAACTTAAGAACATACATAGAAATGCTCTGCCTTGTGTTTTAATATATAAGAATTAAATGTATGTTTTTTTT